TCGAGTCCAAATCCTTATTCTGATTCCAGTCAATACAAACAAGGAGGAAATCCATCTGGATAGACTAGCCAAGGTCACCTAGCTTGTCAAATCTGCAATAAGTTTGGTTATTCTGCGATTGACTGTTATCACAGGATAAATTACTCTTATCAAGCCAATAATCCTCCTGCACAACTTGCTGCCATGCATGCTGCTTCATACACTACTAAACATTCTTCTACACCTCAGATCTATGATGTATGGTTCATTGATGCTGGAGCTAGCACTCATCTCGCACCAGATTTCAACAATCTAACTCTTGCTAGTCCATATGGTGGACAATATTTTGTTGCAATAGGGAATGGATAGACACTGCCTATTAGTCATACAGGTCAAGCTTCCTTGCATACTCATTCTCACTCTTAAATATTTTTTCCATGTTCCTAATCTTTCCATCAATCTTCTTTCTGTGAGACAGTTTTGTTTGGATAACAACTGTCGATTTATCTTTGATTCTACTTCTTTTCTAATTCAGGACAAGTCTTCAGGGAAAATCCTTTACCAAGGGCTGATTGAACATGGCTTATATCCTCTCAAAATTGTACCTTCTTCATCCATGGGGGCTCATCTAGGAGCTAACGTATCTCAACACATTTGGTATGACAGATTGGGACATCCTTCAAATTCTGTTGTTCATTAGATATTGTCTGATTCCAATCTTCCTCATCATGTCTACAGGCTGCAAAAGTCCATCTTGGATTAAAACAAGCTCCTTGGGCCTATGGCTTTGTTCCTTCCTTAGCTGATCCTTCTCTCTTCATCAGAAAGTCTGGTTCATCCCTTACTTATCTACTTCTTTATGTTGATGATATAATCATCACAAGTAACTCAACTTTTTTTGTTTCTTCTCTTATTTCCAATCTTCTTTCTGCCTTTGATATGAAAGATCTAGGCCCTTTGACTTACTTCTTGGGTATTCAAATACCTCTACATCTACTGGTTTGTTCTTGTCTCAAACCAAGTATCTTTCAGAACTTTTAGCTAAGGCAAACACGTCTTCTTGCAAATCTTGTCCTACTCCTTGCACACCTACTAGATTGTCTAAAACAGATGGAACTCCTTTGTCAGATCCCACTTCCTATCGAAGCATTGTAAGAGCTCTCCAATATCTTACCTTCACAAGGCCTGATATTTTGTTTGTTGTTAACTCAGCTTGTCAATTCATGCACTCCCCCACATCTGTTCATTACTCACCAGTCAAAAGAATTCTTAGATATCTCAAGGGCACTCCATATTGTGGTCTCCATTACACCTTTTCTTCCCCAGTTTCTCTCGCTGCTTTTGCAGATGCAGATTGGGCAGGTGATCCATCAGACAGAAGATCCACCACAGGTTTCATCATCTTCTTGGGATCTAATCCTATCCATTGGTGAGCTAAGAAACAGTACACAGTATCCAGATCATTTACTAAAGCTGAATACAAGTCTCTTGATACTACTGCTGCAGAGATAGCTTGGCTCAAGACATTGTTTCTTGATTTACACGGTTTCCTTCCTACCACACCTATTATATGGTGTGATAATACTTCAGCTATTGCCCTAGCATCGAATCTTGTTTTTCATGCCAGAGCCAAACACATAGAAGTGGATTATCATTATGTCAGAGATCAAGTAACCAAACAGCAGCTGGACATTCATCATGTTCAGCCTCAGCATCAATTAGCTGACATTTTTCAAAGGGTCTACCTATTGGCAGATTCTTGCTCTTGACTTCCAAACTTCTGGCCTCTTCACCCATCAGTTTGAGGGGGCATGTTGACAGTATGGATGTGAGCAGCTCAACAGACACACACACAATGCAGCAGACACCTTTGCAGTTGCTACACATCAGCTACAAGCATACAGCTCAGCAGACACATCAAGCTGCTACACATCAGCTGCATCACAGTATCACTCATCCAACTGATTGTAACCAATTGTCCAGCTGTTTGTAACTAACCTCACCACCTCCATGTGCTGCTCACATGATGTAACTAACAAGAGGAATGCCTTGAGACTAATCAGTGTATAAATACTACTCGATGGAATGAAAATGAGTGAAATTTTAGCTACACTTTTGTCCTTGTTATGCTTGTTTTTCACACCTTCTATCACTATTCACATGACACAATAGTTGGAGTAAACTACATATATGACCCTCAAACTATAACTCTTGTGTCAATAAAATCCCTAATTTTTTTTTGTCAATTAAATCTGAACTCTCTAAATGTGTCAATTAAGTTTTTTTGTGTCTATGCTCATGTGAGTGACACATTCTAACAAAAGCAGGTAGAGAGTCTTAATTGACACAATTACAGAGTTTAGGGGTTCAATTGACACAATTGTATAATTTAGGGATTCAATTAACACAGAGAAAAAATTTAGAAACTTAATTGACATAGAGGTCATAGTAAGAGGGTCATACATATAATTTACTATAATATAACCATTAAATTTTATTTTTTGGGAATTGATATTAGGATTGATTTATAACTAAACTCTACAAAACCATAAAAATTATAAATTGGTAAATTGTAAGTATTGGTGTTGTCATCCAATTGCATCCATTTAAACTATCAAAAATATACAAATTTACATATTTTCCAGTCTTACCCAACATAAATCGACGTATCAAAACCTTAAAATTTTATTAATCAACAAAATTAAGTGCATTATACTTTCTTTCTTTGTGATAACTTCTTTAATGACATTGTCCTATAAATCAAACACGAATGAAGTTTCCTAAGATGCAATTCTTTTAATTTTTTTAAGTGCAGATTTCTAATTATAAGTTAAAGTAGGACTCATAATTTATTAGTAAATTCAATTCATATATGATTGGTGATATAGTCTTAATACAATTGAAAAAAATAACTATAAATTATATTTTATACTCTCAAAGTTTACACTTGATTTTTATTTGGTCTCTGAATTATCAACTAAAATAATCAAAATTTTAAACTTTAACTTTCTTTTCAATTAAGTCCCTTGGTTCAAATTCGTCAATAATTCTTGGAAAAGAGTCACAGGAGTATAACGTGATCTAACTATGGGATTAATTTTGAATAAGATGGTCCTAAGGTTAGATTTTATGTATTGAAAATTGCATTTATTGATTTATTTGATATATATTTGAGTATTTCAATTGGCTGAATAGACTCACATTTTAATATTTGCCTCATATTTATGTTAATTTGATCAAAATTATGTGTGTGGTTGAGGTACTATGTGATACATTTTCATCACAATTATTGATGAATTCTAACATTGGAGTTGATTGAAATTAATCATGAAGTGTTACGCAGAGATCTAAGTATCACGCACGTGTATTTTTTAAGGAGTTTTTGTATAATATTTTTAATATTAAAAGGTCTAAGTAATTAAATAATAAATATTAGGGATTTGAGTGAAATTCCCCAAAAAAAAATTAAAAAATTATGGATTAAGAAGCATAGGGAATATGCCAAAAATTATGCATTTTAGCATTATGCTCCTAATGTTAATTTGCTATCACTGGGGACCTTATTGGTTGGGCCCACCTATCCTATCTACACAATTATGGTCCCACTGAAAAAGGCCCGTCACAAACAAAATGGTCATCACACCATCACTCAACACGTGTCACCATTCCACTGCCGACTTCCCAGTAGCATATATACCTTGCAAACACCACCGTTGATGCATCTCTTCAGCTTCCACACACCCTAATTTTTTTGACCTAGATATCCAATTTTCTTGCACTTTCTGGTAAATTTTCCTTCTCTATGACCCAATAACTTTCTGGGTCTTCAAAAGATGTCTTCATTTCATCAGCATGGGGTTGAACAAGATGATGACGGAGGTGCCTCCGATCTCAGCACCAGTGCCGGCGAACCCGAAGGAGACAACAGTAATGGACTATTCGATATGGGTCACCCATCTTCAAATGCCCATCCTGTTTTCAAAGACGAACCGGTTGATTCGGACCCGGGCTCGCTTGATCAAAACTCCAACAACAACCCACAAGCTCAGGCTCAAGCACCGATTGGAATGGGTCCTTTGATGCGGATGCAAATGACTATGCCGGTGGCTACAACTACAACTCGGCGATCATCGAGCAAAGACCGCCACACGAAGGTGGAGGGTCGTGGTCGGAGGATCCGAATACCCGCAACATGCGCTGCCCGGATCTTCCAGCTGACCCGAGAACTTGGCCACAAATCTGATGGAGAAACCGTCCGGTGGCTACTGGAACACGCTGAACAAGCCATCATAGAAGCTACCGGAACTGGAACGGTCCCGGCGATTGCCGTCTCCGTCGGTGGGACCCTCAAAATACCAACTACGTCGCCGTCGAACAATCCCGAAGGAGGAGGAGGAGGAGCTGAATCCCTCAGTAGTTCAAAGAAAAGACGAAGGCCATCAAACAGCGAGTTATACGACGTGGATCCTCCACACTGTAATGTTTCCCAGGTCTCTGGACTCGCTCCAATTGCTCCGACTACAGCCACCATAACTGCGGCGGCGGCTCCACCGGGTTTGGTGCCGGTGTGGGCTGTGAGCAACGCCGGGATGATGGTACCATCCAATGCGTTCTGGATGATACCATCAGTTGGGTCAGTGGCGCCATTGCACGGACAATCGAATCAACCCCAACTCTGGACTATTTCGCCGTCCGTGACGCCGGTTTTTAATGTGTCCGCGAGGCCAATATCGTCCTTTGCGCCGGCGGAGACGGTGGCGGTGATGAACACCACATCTGGGTTGATGGGTAATAGCGGAATTAGTTCGAATACGGTGGCGGTTACGGTGGCGACAAAGGGGGGAACGAAGAAATCAAGTATGGCACCGGCGAGTGTGAGTGGTAGCGGTGGTGGTGGTGGTGCTAAGGCGGCGCAGATGTTAAGGGATTTTTCGTTGGAGATTTATGATAAACAGGAGCTGCAGTTCATGGGTATAAGTGGAATTCAACAGAAAAGTCAAGCTACTTCCTCAAAACCATGAGAAAGTTTGTAGGGGAAAACAAGAAAATTCACATATTTTCTGGGTTCAGAGGGTCTGTGTGCGTCTCTCTCTCTTTTCATTGTTGTACAAGTCCAGAAGCTTCCACTTCCGGCGACCTCTTCTGTTTCTGAATTCCTACTTTTCCCCTTGAATTTTTATTAGTAATTCTCATGGGGATAAATTATGTAATGACATGGAATAACCCTACCTAATGTTGACATGTAAAACCAATCATAATGCAAAATAATGGTTTTTGACTTCTTGTTTAGGATGCATTTCTATTTCAGTATACTTTAAGAACAATGCTACAAATCCTCTAAAGTTTTCTCCAAATGTGGAAACCAGATGGTTGTGTCGATGGGTCTTATGAACAAAAAGTTAATATAACTTAAACTAATCGTATACTTAGATGTTCTAAGTTCGTTCAAATTTTTTAGGATAGGTCATGAGGGGGTAAAAGATAAATTTTTCATGAATATCCTTGTCTCAGCGTGAATAATTTATTTTTGATTGGACCGAGGAGAAAATTAATCGAGATACACGTAAGTTAATTTGAATATTTTGAAAAAAAAATTAAAACAAATTAATAAGACCTATTAGTCCGATCATCAATGTTGATTTGAGGTACAAATTTAAAATGCAAATTTGGGACAAAAATACGTTTACATGCGTAATTGGCCCTTACATAGGGATGGTAGTAGACCGGGGGCGAGGGCGGGGAAAATAGTCTCCACTCCCGTGCTCACTTAAAAAATATTCATTCACCCCTGATCTGTCACTGTTAGCATGAGAAGTTTTAATCACCATTCTTGCTCCGCAGATAAATTTTGATCCCCATTTTTGTTCTCGTTCTTGTCCTCGCCCGTAACAATTAATTTTCATAATTTTTTTAAAAAATTAAAAAATATATATATAACCTCACAAATGAATTTGCAAGAAGGATAAAAATTCATTATATTACAAATGAATCAAAAATAAAAACATACACAAATAATATGCATACCGAATGTGCGCTGCACTTAATTATTTTATTTGTTATATCTGTTATAGGTTAAACGGGACGTGAATGAGTTTTAATTTATCTCAGTATCTATTCTCGCACTAATTTATACGTATATTCTTGTATATATTTATCATCCAATTCATCTATGATTCAAACAAAATGAATTTGAACAAATATCAATTTTTTTTGGCTCCACTATCATCCCTACCCTTACACTGCATATATGATATGGGTTTGAGGTAATACTCCATGTACAAGTGCAATGGTGGAGGGGTGGAATAGTAATCATGACAGTGTTTGTTTTGACAACTGACAATTGTAGCTTGGGATATTAATTTTTTCCAATAGACAATTACAAATTAGAAATTTTATAATTAAACTCAACTTTTGTAAGTTTTCTATTGGGACTTAGACGAGAATAGGACATATTGCTTGGAGTTATATGGGAATTAGGAGCCTCGCAGTAGGTGTAAGTGGGACATGGCGTAGGCACAGTTTTGTTAAGTTGGATGACGATGGACCAGAGGGCGGTGGTGTGGTGGGTGGCCCACTTCTAAATGGGGTCAACTGGGGCCAATGGAACTTTCTGGATAAAGTTCCAGTCCCACGCTCGTCCTTACCTCACAAGCATTTTTTTTTTTTTTGAGTAAATTACATATTTAACCTTCAAACTATGATCTTATATTAATTAAAATTTTAAACTTTTTAATTAAGTCAATTAATTCATTCTGTTTAACTATGTTAAATTATTCTAACTGAAAGTAACAGAGTGTGGTGTCACGTGAGTGACCCATTCTGCCATTATTTATGAACAAACAAGTTGAGGCACAACAAATTGATACTTAAGTCGTATTGCTTTGCTTCACTGTCAATGTTAGTTCTCTAAGTGACAATATGTACAATATTTTTATTAATAATATGTACAACCTAAAACTACCATGTGATGTGTTAAACTTATATAAAAATTTCTCAAACTTGATTACTATTCTAAAGTTTAATAACAAGAACGAATCCACGGAGTGTGGTGGATTGTATTTATGTTCCGTTTAGCATGATGAAAAAATTAAATGATAAAAAGTTAGAGGGATAGATAAAATATTATGTTTGGTAAAGAAGAAAAATAGGAAGGATGAAAAAATGGATGAATGAGATTTCTTTTCAACTCACCAAAATTAATCGCTCTAAATTGAAAAAAAAATTAATTATTTGTGTTGAAATAAATTTTATTTATTTATATATCTTTTGATATATACATATATTATATATATATTAATTTCATATATAAATACAATGATAAAATATGTTAAATATTTTTTCCATCTTACCAAGTACAAAAAAAAAATTAATTATTTTTATTTTTCATCCATCTTTCCAAATACAAAAGAAGAAAATTGTATCATTTATATTTTCCTTTTTTAAAGTTAGAAAGTGTATTCCTTCTATTTTTCATTACTTTTACTTTCTGTCATTCTTATCAATTGGAACATTAGAAAGGGCTAAGAATAAGAACTTATGGCATGTTTGACTTAAGTATATTGGGATGAATTGAATAATTGATTTCATTTTAATTCATAGTAGTGATTAAATAGTTGGTCATCCACTTCATTGTATATCTCAATTAAATCATGTATGGATCAAGGTTTGGATAAATTGTGTTCTAGTTATACTAATGTAAATCTCATGTTTGGATGAGAGACTAATATATTGTATAAAATTAAAAAGACGAAAACACCATACATCAATGCATAAGGTGTAAAATGCTACATTAGTCTATACGGATATTCTTATCATGTTGATATTAATATCAATCATGTCTCATTTAATATCACCTATTATATGGTATTGGTTTATATCAAGTATAAGGAATAAAATGCTACTTTAAGAACTTTTCCGGTGCTAAAGATAATATCACATATTATATGGTATATATTTTACGACACTAAAATATCTTTAATATTGTTAATTATAATTTGATCCAAATTTGATACTAAATGACTATTGGACTAATTTAATCCAATTTTATTCTGTGTCCTTTGGAGGTTGGTCTTTTTTTGTAAACCTATTTGAACTTAAATCCACTCAAAAAGTTTATTTGGGAATAAATTCACTTTTATCTCCATTGTCCAAAATAACCCTCAATAATTATATTTAATCAAATATTGTTTGAAAAAACTAACTCCTCTTAAATTGATAACTATATTTGCACAATTTTTAAATTAAGAGTTGTTATATTTAAAAATTTTGAAACTTATAATGATAGGCAGTATTTATGAATTTATTATCAAAACACAGTTGTTTTGAAACTTTAATATTAAAGTACGATACTTTTGAACTTATTTACTAAATTACAACACTTTTTAAAAACAGATTCAACAACCCGCTTTAGGGGGAAAAAAAATTTGGGCAATAAAAAAAGCGTGTTTTGTAAACACGTTTTGTACGATTTTTTGTAATCATCCATCTCAACAAGTTTGTGCAAGTACACACAAGCACCAGAAGCCACCATTTGTTTATGACATTTCTTCGAATGCGCAAGCGAAGCCAATATCGAAACAAGGTATTTCTTGTCCACATTATGTACCAAAGGATCTAATAATTGAACTGCACTAACAATCCCCCCCCCCCACCCGGTCTTCCTTCCTAAAAATCCTCCTATTCCCTGCATAAACCATAAGGTTTGACAATGCCTTAGCAGCCGCTTCTTTCTCTTCCACAGCTTTACCATCCAACATTCAAACCAAAGGAGCTATATAACCAATTTCACCCAACTCTTTTCTGGTTTTGGTACTAAATCCCAAATTATATACCGTTTTAGCAGCAGTAATTCTCACACCCAAAACCCCACATTTCAAATCCCCAATAATCCTACTCAAGACCCCATTCAAAACAAGAACTTCAGCAACTAATTGACACTCAACTAAAATCCTTAACATTTCAACCGACACCTCCAAACTCCGGTCAATCGGAGCCAAGTCCCAAAAATTCTTCAAAATCTCAGTTCCACCTTCCCCGACCACCAGAACCTTTAATAGAGATGGAAGGTTTCTGGGTGTTCCAGAACCTTCAATAGAACTGCGTGTTCCGGATTGACAAATCTCTAATAGAGATGGAAGGTTTCTTCACACCAGTTGAAACACCTAAAAAGCGTGGTTACAATTTTAACGTGTTTCAGTTCATTATTTTACACCACGTTTTTTATTTAAAAACGGGATCATTGATATCTTTTTTAACAAAAGCGGAGTTGTTGAATATGTTTTTTAATAAAAACGGGATTATTGACTCTGATGATGCACAAAATTGGTTTACACACTACCTGTTAATTAAGTAATATAAAATGCAGTAAAGTAGAGGGTTCGGTCAATATAATCTACGTCCACTTTGAATGACAAGTGTCGTCGAAATTTTATTATCTCCAGTGTGAAGGGAGGCTCTTGGATGACCCTTACTCCAAGGTGGTAGAGGAGACTCTTGGATGACCCTTACTCCAAGGTGGTAGAGGAGACTCTTGGATGACCCTTACTCCAAGGTGGTAGAGGAGGCTCTTCGATGACCCTTGCTCCACGGTGGTAGAGGAGGAGACTCTTGGATGACCCTTACTCCAAGATGGTAGAGGAGACTCTTGGATGACCTTTCTCCAAGGTGGTAGAGAAAGAGACTCTTGGATGACCTTGCCTGCTTCTTGTTGATGTAGTAGCTCCTTGAGCCTGATGAGCTTGATCAGGTTGACTACATTGGGCTGGATTTGTTGGATCTCTTGGAGTTGAATTATAAACTCGGACCGGGCTTATAACATGAGTTGGGCCTTTGGGCTTGGTTCATCATTTGCCCGCAAATGCCCTGTGTCTAATAAAACTTGGAAAGAAGGGCATTCTATTAAGTTTGAATTTTTGGCTGACAGACACAACTGAACAAATTTCGGGAGGTCAAAATATTTGTTTCTAAGCGTCGAGAGTTTCGATTTGATATATTATAAACCTCATTTCGAGTAATTGAGCAA